GTATCTCCTGCAGCATTACTCTATATACACACACTCCAAAGCATGTCTTGATTGTGTTGTATTTCTCATCATCAGAGTGAACTCCAGTGTAAACATAGCCATCACGGAGGTCTATCTTGCTTCTATGTTTCACTCTACCAACGGCATTGAGTATTACCTGTTGGTTAGGTATGGGTGTGTGAGCCTTAATTGTATTTAGGTTCCTTTGCTATAAGTCTCCAAGTGACCTTATACTACTATTTGTTTTGCCTTGCACAAATATGCTTGATTCACTGCGTGCTTCTGCTATGTAAATAGCTCCTGCCTCCTATTGCTTTTTGATCCATCCTTTGAATAATTGTAGGAGCTTTTCCAGTGTCTTGCATTTTAGTATTTTTGAGTATAGGTTAGGGTCTTTTAGCTGGATCCTGTCATCTATGCACCTTCTTGTCGGCATAGTAATAGGTACTTGCTTGAAAAATATCTTTGAGAACCTTGCCAGGAAATCAAGTGCCTTTTGTGCTTTTGCTATTACAGATATTGGTTGAGTGGACTGTGCAGTAGAGTTTACTCTTACTTTGTCATCAAGGAAGTATAAACTGTTTTTCCTGCACTCTATCATAGTTCTGAGCTTAATAAGGTTATTCATACTTAGTAGCACATCATAATCTGAAATAGGGGTGCCTATCATCCCAATTCTTGGAATCTTCATCTTCTCTATCTGGATATCAACAGTGCTATTATAGTTACTGCTGGATCTCAACCCCTCAACTGCCATTTCAACTATGACTGGATACTTTCGAGGCTGGTAAGGAATGTTATCTGTAGTGACAAATTAGTTACTTATCAAGCCTCCACTGATGTTTCCTGTATCTGCTAAGACTCTTGCTTGTTTACTATTTACAAGCATGTTGAATTTGATCAGTTGGAAGGGTACACAAGGGTCATTGGGTACCTGAACAGTAGTTTTGTAGGTTCCTATGCAGTCTTCTCCATCTAACTCTTCTGTTGAGTCACTTTCTAGCTCATATTCCTTATCACTGCTATCAGTATCATCTTCTGTGATCCTGACAGGATTGGTTTTGACTTCTTTCTTAGGACATTCATTTGCCCTATGTTCACCTTTTCTACAATAGAAACAAGCTCCTTCTTTCTTTCTTTAATGTATTTCCTTCTTGCTAGGTTTCTTGTTCTTTGGATATGTTATTCTCTTTGCTGGTGCCTTGACTTTTCCTGTTGCTTTATTGCATGCTGCTTGAGCAAATTCATATTCTTTCTTTGGTTTGCTCCAATTGTTGGTAGAGTGGCCACTGCTGCCTCTATAGCCTCTAGTTTTATACATAGTAGCATGATATCTTTCTGCAACTTGTACTATGTGGGTCCAGGTGGCTGTTTCACTGATTTGGGGTACAACATTTCTCCTGAGGTGACAATCTATTGCATGTAAGAACTGCTACTTTTGTGTATAGTCTGAGATAGATTATCTAGGTAGGGTAGCTCTTAAGTCTTCAACCTCTGCAGTAGTTTTCAATATCCTTGCTGGTTTTCCTCCTGTAGTTTGCAATACCTTCTACCACTTGTGGTAGAGATTACATGTATTACTACATGCTTCAAAGACATATTTGAATCAGTCTCAAAAAGTCTTAAGGTTAGGTGTAAGGAAATGTAGTCCTACCACAAGGCATACTCCTAGGGCAACTAATGCATGACCACTCTAAATTGGGGTCAGTAGTAATTTTTGCTCAGGCCCATCCCCTCATCACAACCTAGATAGAGCTTACTGTAGACATGCACTGAACTGATAATATCAAGGAAATGGATGGCCATCTAAGGGGATTGGTCTTAGACACAGCCATGGATATTCAGTAGTCAAATGAGCATAGTGTGATGGAGATGAGGAAGGTTTCTGAGGTCAAGGTACCTCCAAGTAAGTATTCCCCACAATCCAAGATATACTCTCCTCATAATAAGACAATTTGTCTGTGGCTCAATTTGATCTGGCCAATCCTTATTACCTACAGGCAATAAGAGTCCAAATAGATCACCTGATAGGTGCTTATAAAGTTGGATATCCATTTCTTGGTCAACTCTCAGGCTAGTGTGCTACTGGCTCTGACCAAGGAATCACCTGTGGGGTCATGTTATCACTGAGTATCAACAATCTGCTCAGGTGGGTGAAAGGCTAGCATGTGTAGTGGCCCATTGGGTAACTAGTAAGGGTGCTCTATTACTTTATTGGGTACCCTCCAATGCTCTCCCACTCTGGGAACTCATCTCTCTTTGTGCAGATGAGGATATCTGAGTATGGCTTTTTACCAATGATGGTAAACATCGACTGGATCTCATGATCCTGGAGCTATGCCAGGATGAGTGAGAAGATAACAACAAGCCCTTTGGGCCTGCCAATAGCAGATATCCCTTCTTGGATAGTAAGGTGCAAGATAGCTATGAGCAGGGTAGAGATATTAAAATGTTCATGGAAGAGGAGGATGATGAGGGGGAGGAAGAGAAGGAAGTGGACTGGCAGGGAAATCAGGGAAGAGGAGGAAGAGGATGAGTTTTAGGCAAGTGAGTATGAGAAGTAAAAGGTGGAGGATGATTCTGGTAATGGAGCCATTGTGATTGAGGATGTAAGTTTCTAAGCCTAAACCCATGTAGCTAATATCAGAATACATACTCAGTTAATCATATACATATGATGAGGAAGCAGATAAGGAACCTGATGGAGACCTTGACCCCTGGAGACTACCTTCCACCAGGGGTCCAGACATCCCTTCCTCCAGTGATCCTAAGCCTTCCACTGTGCTGTCTAAAGAAGACAAATTCTGAGCCATACTTCACGTTGTCCATGACCAGCCCTGGATGTCAGAGTTCATCATGACTCCCAGCTGAGTAGCCCACTGTGATGGACAACATAGGGCTATAGATAGTTTCCTAACTGGTGCTTCCAGCTACAGCTACACACTCTCTGCCCCTGCCTTCTTACATGGCTACCTCCACTACCCCAAGACCAACAACTGTTCTTCTAGCTCTAATGACCACCTCTATGCCTCTGACTTCCCTTGTAGCTGTCTCCAGCATCTCAAGTCCCACAACTATTCTTCCAGCTCTCGCATCCCCCTGAGTGCCCCAGCATGGAACCAGAAACTGGAAGCCTCAAAAATAATTCTTTTGTTTCCTTTTGTAGCTGTTCCTATTTCTCTTTTTGTTGCTTTTCTTCTTGTTCTTCTGAAATTTTTTTTCTTATTTGTTCCATATTAGCTTCACTTTATTAGAGAGTTATTCTTAGCTAGTAATTGTTAGCTAGTAAGAAAAAACCATTTGACACCCTTGCAGGGCCTTGCTTGGGCATCTCCTTGCTGGCACTTCTGATCTCAAGTACCTGGAATATGATAATAGTGATATCACTATGCTACCTTACTTTTGCAACTAGAGTTTTCTTAATTTGGTACATCTTGCATTGTCTGTTATTAATGGGCATAGTATTAACTGACCATCGGAACTGATTCTTTAGTAGGGTATAGCCATCAGTGATGAGATCAACCAGGGTTTAAAGTTAGTAAAGAATGGCTGTACTAAAACCCCTGTCGTTCTCATTACTAATGTTCACATCTGAGTAGTTCATATTGCTGCAGTTGAATTCAGCCCATCCAGTCTTCGACTATTCTGACTCCACACCAGTAAAATGTTTTAACTATTACTATGGCTAGTTAGGTAAGGTGATGACTTGATGAGGAGTTAGTATTGCTAAATGATCTTGTTTTTAGCTAGAATTTATTGCAACTTCTCCATTAGCAACCCCTTCATTTCATCTAATTTTTTGATAGCACAGTCTTGAGTCCAATCATAGTTGAGAGTGCTAAGATTATTACACACATAATATTGAACACTCTCAAAATACCTTTGTGCAGCCAAATCTTTTACTTGAAGAATGAGGGATAGTCAGCGATCCTGCACCCCCTCTCTACATGGCCTCCTAGTATATAAGACTGAATATATTATAGAGAATAAAAGAAAAATATATAAACTCCTCATGTTCAATACATTTGAGATACCCACAATGTTCCGACCTCCTGAATCTTAACTTACCTGACATTCACTAACCTATTACATGATGAATAAGGAACAGGCCAATACAGACAGTCAGCTGACTGCTAAAGTTAGTAATATATATAGAGGTAGACACAATGTCAGATACAATACTATCAGATCAGGAAAAGGGAGATCCAGAATACATGAAAATAAATCTCAAGATACGTCCCCAACTCAGGATTCTTCTCCACCCCTGATTGCAAGCCTACTAGGAAGAGTACTGAAGCACCTATAGAAGGATACAATACTGACCATGGTAGATGCAGAACCCAAAACCAAACCAAATAATCAACCAAATACTCTAACAGTGCATCAATTGGATGATAGTAGTGATGAGTACCAAATCTTACCCAGACTAGATGAAACAGAATGAGTCACTGAACTAGATAGAGAATGCATTGATAATGCAGATGGCCCCAGATCAAGATGTGATCATAGGTCACAAGTAGCTGACAGAAAGGAAGACAATTAGGTAAGATCTATATGTATTTTGACCTCATTATAGTCTAACGAGATAGGTCATGGTCAGCGTATAACCATAGATCTTGCATTCAAAATTTGGCAGAGAGCCTACAGTCCTGCAATGTTCCTGTCATTGGGTGATACACACTTATCATCCCCACTGAGTAGCCTTCCTGGTCCTACATCTGGTACCCTAATCTCTGGTCCAACTTCTCACTCTTATTGAAATATAGTTATAGGTGTGGAAAGGGCTATGTTAGATGATGGGAAGCCTCTGATTCTATGGTATACCGTATTTGAGTAACTGCTCTCAAATGTTGTTACTTTGACTGCCCAGGTGTACAGCCACTAGTCAGAAGTGTTCGTGAAACATATTTTTTGGCTTACTAAGCTACCTCGCCAAAAATGCCAAATCACGACTGTGAATCTGAATGGTATCACTGTTACGATCATAACATACCCAAATAATTTATACTCCGGCCATGACTACCACCCCTTTATCCTTTAATTATGGTTTACCAATCTGGATATAGAAAGCACTCAGTACCAAAAAAAAAAAAAACCTCCTAAAACCTCACAAAGAGAGATGTTGAATGTGGAAAAAGGCATGATTATTGTCTTTTTCTACTTCCTCCAGAATATTGCCCTTGTTGCTCAACTCATTGGCCGGCCTAGGACAACAGTTAAAAGCTTCCTTGTCCGGGCATGTGAGTGCCCATCAGTGGAAAACATCCCTCACCCCGGTCGCACCCCTGTTCTTAGCCATCAGCAATGTCGCACAATCATCCGGGCAGCCAAATCCAACTGGAAAATGACCAGATCTGATTTCAGAGATCAATATTGTACTGTCCGTCGAAAATGTCAAAATTTGGATCAGATCATCTGATAACAACATGGTTGCCATGACAACAAAGGAAAAAAGATAAAAAAATAAAGCAGGGGAGAAAAAAAAGAAGGAGATTAAATTCAAAGAGGGATAGGCAAAAATACATAAGTATGATTGACAAAAAGAGGAATTAAAGAGAAATAAACAAAGAAAATAGGAGATACAGAAGCAGAGAAAAAAAGAAATAAAAAAATGAGGAAAGAAAGGAAAGAAAGAAGCGAGGAAACAGTCAGAATAAGGAAGGATATAAAAGAAAAGAGAATTAAATAATATGTAGTAGACAAGATAAGAGATAAGATGGGAAAAGAAAAGGAAAAAGGGAAAAGAAATCCCAGAATAGAAAAAGAGAAACAAAAGATGAAAAAAAAAGAGTAAGAGAACAGAACTCTAATTATTTGCATAAAATAAGCAAAATAGAATATGTTAGAGTAAATAATATTAAAATACTGTGGGAATAATAAAATAACTGAGAAACAGTGGGGGAAAAGTTAGGTTTTTGTTTATTGGCCTAGATAACATGGTAGTTAAGTTTTATTGGTAAGACCTGGGTTTGTTTTGTGGGTTGTTGTGCAGTATATTCCTTTATAAGGAGCAACAGTATTACATTTTTATGCATAGACATAAGAGACGAACTGCCAACACAATATCAACACATAACATGAATATATTTTTCATTTCCCCTCTCCATCTATTCTTTTGCTTCCTTTTCCAGGGCAGTACTTTGGGGGGGATTATTAGGTTAAATATCATTGTAGAAAAGTTGGGTTCATTTCATAAGACCTAGGTAGTTGTTGCTAGGTTTTGTTCGAGGGAGGGTGTTTAGTATTTGAGACTTGGCATGTATCATTAGTTCCTATATAAGGCACAACCACTCGTAGTTTTTACATGGAGAGAAAGACACAAGTGCGACGAACAACGAATACGAATACATTTATATTTCTCTTCCTCCAATATCGACATCCGTTTCTATTGTGTGTGATTATATTCGACGGATTTGTTTCCCAAGGACGACCTTCTAACTTCCAGCTGTGCATGCGGTGTTTTGCCCACACCTGGCAGTGTTTGTCCTCCTTCGACCCGTAATTCCTTTTATCCCTTTCGATTTCCGTTTAGAGAAGTAAACCTTCTCTAGCCTTACTGTTTTACATCCGGACAGGTTTTGGTTCTCTCAGTACCTCCTGACAGATTTGTTTTCCACTTGTACAATCATCGGAGTACCTTCTTTGAAAGTGGTATTTTGTGTATTCTCCGTGGTATTAATTTTCCTTTTGCACAACTATTCCTGTGTTAGCTTTGTTTACCTCTTGACAATTCAACCTGTTTTTGACTTTTAAGTTCTCCATTGGGACCTGTTTTTGTCCAACAAAGCTGACACTTAACCTGGGGCTACCCAATGAGAGAATAAGGAGTTACCAATAATATACAACTTGTAGGCTTTTGAATTACCGGAAAAGACAACCCTGTCCACAACAAACAAAGTTGAAGAAATAAAATACACTCAAGAACAACAATGACAACACGGAGATGCAATATATGTCATCGTGAATTAGCAATTGATGCCTTTGATCGTGACCGGCGACAGAATCCAAGGGGGGGATGCAGGGCCTGCTTGGTAAGTGTCATTTTCTAATTACTTATAGTACATCTAAGAAGTAAGGAAACCAGCTAACTGTGGTTGCTTCTATATGTATAGGCAAATTTGAGGGCACGAAGAGCAAATAGAAGATTGCAAGAAGAACCAATTGAAAACAATCTTTCACCAGTACAGAGAATAAACCCACAAGAACCCCACCAGTCGCTTACTATATGGCGAGCCTTTATCACCAATCAGGAATCCTGGACCAGTCATTATTTAGGAGAGATGAATGTCACATGTTCAGCATGTGGAGCTAAGCACTGGGAAGCAGAGAAGCCTCTTAGACAATCAGCCGCAATCCAAAGCTTTGAAAAATTGTTGCAAGCATGGAGATGTCAAGATTGAGAAGCTAATGGTACTGCCAGAACCACTTAACTCTCTCATGAGTGGAATGGATGCTTGCTCAAAGCAGTTCCGGCAAGGGATTCGTCAATAGAATAATCTATTTGCTTTTACGTCTATCAGGTATAACATGGATGATTGTGAGACTGCCCAGGGGGGAGGATTACAATTGTTTCAAGTCCATGGTGAGATATACCATTTGCAGGGTCCGTTGGTCCCCCCAGCTAGAAGAGATTCATTATATTCGCAAGTCTACCTTTATGACCCAATGTATGCGACTAAGAGCCATGCAGCATATGCACAAAATTTGGATAGAGATACGATTGAACAACTGACGCATATGTTGGAACTCTGCAGTCCATTAATTCAACTCTACCGGACAGCTCACGAAAGTCTGGCAGATATTCCTGCTGATGAGACAAACTACAGGATTCTTATAGATCCTAGAATGCAATTGGTAATAGAGCAAGGGGCGGATAGATGAACAGAAAATTTGCCAACAGTGAATGAAGTAGCTATTGTTGTGCCAGAGGAATATGGGCAGGCCAGCTTTCAAGATATTGTCCTTGCTCAAAGAAGTCCTACAGATCAACAAGAGCCTAGTGGTGGGTTCAAAAGAATGAACCCAAATCACCCATCTTATCTTGCCCTTCACTATGTCATACTCTTTCCACGGGAGAACCCGGATGGCATTGGGCCCGGCAACTTCAAAATTTGTCTGGAACACGTCAGATACTTAAGATGCCTCAACGTTCCTTCTATCGTTTCAGACTCCATACAAGAGGTGATGAACCATCAACTCTATTCCATGCGCAACAGCTATTCCAACAATTCGTTGTGGATTCATGGGCTGTATGTGATCAGAATAAATTGGATTGGTTTAAAACTCATCAAGGCAATATTCGATCTGATCTATACAATGGGCTGGCAGATGTTGTGATACAGGGTGATATTAATCTCCAAGAAGTGGGGAAAAGGGTTATTCTACCTTCGTCATATACTGGTGGTGATCGATTTATGCAAAAGCTATACCAAGACAGTATGGCAATTGTGCATCACTTTGGAAGACCATCACTCTTTATTACGTTCACTGCAAACCCAAAATGGGATGAGATTGTGAGGGAGTTACTCCCTGGTCAGGTTTCTGCCGATAGGCCTGACCTGGTTGCACGTGTCTTCTTTTTAAAAATGATTGATTTGCTTGATCAAATTAAGAAGAAAGAGATCTTTGGGCCCTGGAGGGGGTGGGTCTGGACCATTGAGTACCAGAAGAGGGGTCTTCCCCATATGCATTTGCTGTTATTCCTTAAAACAGATTTACAATTCCTCACTGCAGAGAATATTGATAATCTGATATCTGCAGAGTTGCCTGACGAGAGTACAACCAGGGGGAGAGAGTTGAGTACTATTATTCAAACAACGATGGTACATACCCAATGTGCAGGTGGGAATTCAGATTCGATATGTATGCAAAGTGCATATGAAGGTGGGCCCCGTGCCTGTATTACGGGATATCCTAAACCATTCCAGGTGGAAACTATAGTTCAGGAGAATGACTACCCAATCTATCGAAGGGGAGATATGGGACAAGGATTTACCTCACCAGTCATGAATGCAGGGCCTGGGGTGACAACAAGAATTGATAATCGAAGAGTGGTCCCCTATAGTCCTTATCTTTCCCTCCGCTACAAGGCTCACATTAATGTCGAAGTTTGTAGTTCCATAAGAGCAGTAAAATATATACATAAGTATATATATAAGGGAGGGGATCGTGCAACACTGAGGCTGAGGTCAGATTTGGATGAGATCCAAAGATATCTTAATGGCAGATATATTGGACCAACTGAAGCAGTCTGGCGATTATTTCAATTCAGCACCCATGCCCAGCAACCGGCAGTCCAGAATCTAGCTATTCATCTTCCTGGTGAGCAGCCTGTTTACCTTTCAGAACAGGACAATGTGGAAGAACTCCGTCACCGAATAGAGAGCTCAATATCAACTTTGACTTCATTTTTTGATTATAATAGTAAGGGGGAAGCGGGAGCCCCCTATCTATACCATGAATTTCCTGAGCACTTTGTTTTTATACGCAAAGTTGGATGGAAGAAAAGAGAAAAAGGGTTTTCAATTGGAAGAATGTATGCGGCTTCGCCATTTATGGGAGAAAAATACTATCTAAGGCTTCTTCTGACAATCGTTCGTGGACCCAAGAGCTATGAGGACCTTAGAACTGTTGGTGGCCAACTTTTACCCACCTTCAAAGCAGCTTGTATAACCTTAGGCCTTCTTGATGATGACGGAGAATGGGTTGCACTATTTACTGAGGGGGCAAACTTCATGACAGGATCTGCATTGAGACAACTGTTTGCACTCACCCTACAGCACACTACCTTGACCGATCCTTTGTCAATCTGGAATCACTTTGGACAAAGCTTTTGCGATGATATCTCCCATATGATTAGCACAGGACGATTACAGGTAATTAATCATTTGGGGCTTAGCCAGCAGGATATTTATTTAGACTATGGTCTCTGGGTTTTACAGAAAGCACTTGCTGAATTTGGTTCTGGCCTCGAGGATTACGGATTACCGCTACCGGTGCTTGAATGGCAGCATCAAAATCAAGGAGAGGCTGATCGATTGATCGCAGAAGAAATGGACTATGATCAAGAGGGGCAGAGAGTACTAGCACATGATATGTGTACACAACTCAATGGGGAACAGAGAGATTGTTTCAATCAAATTATAGCTATTGTTGAGCGCAGACTAGCCAACCCTCAACATCGTTTCTCTTCCAGTTTCTTTCTTCATGGCCCAGCTGGTACTGGAAAGACATTCCTTTATAACACACTCTGCAGTTACTTGAGGGCAAAAGAAATGATTGTACTCTGTGTGGCCTCTTCTGGTATCGCAGCTCAGCTCCTTCCAGGGGGCCGAACAGCGCATTCTCAATTCAAGATTCCTTTGTCCAACGATACGAATGGTTATTGTAATATTACCAACAATTCATACCTAGCAAAGTTGATTCGGAAGACAGCATTAATCATATGGGATGAAGTTCCTATGCAGCATAAAGCATGCTTTGAGTCAGTGAACAGAACCTTGAATGACATATGTGGGAGGGAGGAAGGGTTTCTTTTTGGTGGCATTCCCGTTGTCCTGGGAGGTGATTTTGCTCAAATTCTTCCAGTGATATGACGAGGCTCTCGACAAGCAACCGTTTTAGCTTCCATCAGGCATAGTACATTCTGGAATGATCTAATCATCCTAAAATTAAAGGTCAACATGCGTGTAATAACTGATCCAGCAAATCAAGTTTATCTTGAATTTTTGCAACGCTTGGTACACAATCCAACACACTACGGCGAGATCATCCTACATTCCTTTATTCAA